TCCTTAATGTTATCCATTCCTTAACCCACATCAATGTTGTCGTCTGATAATATAATTCCCAGTTGGGTAAGCCAAAATCTCCTCTTGTTCTAGAATCTTGTAGTAATTTTAATTTAATTCTCGCCTTCTTTCCCTGCCAAATATATTTCTATACTATTTTGTTTAAATCTTCAAAATAATCTTTCCGTAACTTGATTGGAATTGTCTGGAACAAATATAAAATCCTTGGTAATATATTAATCTTAATTGTAGATATTCTCCCTATTAAAGATAATTCAAATTTTCCCATTTTGCCAAGTCTGTCACAATCTGTTGTTTTGAGTTTATAATAGTTGTCCTCTTTAAATGTGCCACATCTAGCTGTTAAGTATATTCCTAAATATTTAACTTTGTTTGTGACCTGAATCTTCAAAGTCTCAGCCAACTCTTTCTTTCTTTTTTCAACTATGTTCTTTGTCAGAATCTTTGTTTTATCTTTATTTATTTTGAAGCCAGCCACCAATCCATACGCCTTAATTTTTTCTATTAATTTGGGCACTGTTTCTCATGGATCTTCTAAGATAAAGAGCAGGTCATCCACAAATGCTTGTAGTTTATATTCTTCCTCTTGATTTTCATTCCTTTTATTTCCCTAACCTCTCTAATACTTTTATTTAGTACCTGCAAGGTCAACACAAACAACAGAGGTGACAACGGGCAACCTTGCCTACTTCCTTTCTTAATATCAATATTTTCTGTTAATTCTCCATTTATCATTACCTTTGCTGATTGCCTACCAATATTGCTTCAATGGTTTGAATAAATTTCCCACCAAAGCCCATCTGCTCCAATTGTAATAACATAAACCGCCAATTCACATTATCAAAGGCTTTTTGTGCATCTAGGAATATCAAAGCCATTTGCTTCTCCAAATGTGCCTCATAGTATTCCAAAGTGTCCACAATTATTCTCATATTATCTTTAATTTGTCTCTTTGGCAGAAATCCATTTTGATCAGAGTGTATAAAATTATTCAAGTATCTTTTAAGTCTTTATGCCATTATTGAAACAACAATTTTATAATCTGAGTTCAGCAGTGAAATAGGTCACTAACCCTTCCATTTTGAAGTGGAAGAAAACCTCTGAGCTAGGAAATATTTAATGATTTAAAAGGACTGAGGTAAAAAATTGTTTAAAAACTATTTAAAAGGTCTGAGGGAGGAAATATTTAATCCCTCCATTTAAAAATATTTGAAGTTCAGAAGAAAAACTACTTCTGCGCAGTACAGATGGTCCCTGACTTACATCATTTCATTTAGCGACCGTTCAAAGTTACAACGGCACTGAAAAAGTGTGTTTTTCGCACTTACGACTGTTCAAGCATCCCTATGGTAACATGATCAAAATCCAGACACTTGGGAATTTACTTGCATTTATGACGGTTGCAGTGTCCCGGGGTCACGTTCCGATGAGCAACGTCAATAGGAAAACCAGATCTGCTTAACAACCATGTTCCTAATTTAACAACTGTGGGGATTCACTGAACAACTGTGGCAATAGAGGTCACAAAATGGAGGAAACTTCACTTAACAAATCTCTCACTCAACAACTAAAATTTGGGGCTCATTTGTGTCGTCAGTCAAGGACTACATGTGCAAAATATTTCTTCTAGTTAAACAGCTCCAAGTCATTTGGAGCAGGCCGGATGCATTGCGTGCTGGACCGGCCCCTCCCCGGTTTAGTGGAAGGGAAGAAAGTTCCGATACGTCAGATGACGACACAAGTTTTACCCCCCCCACACAATATAGAGCCTGCTTCATGTTTGCAGGGATTCTGGCATATTCGCCATTTCCTCCTCAAGAATTGCACTTCTAGCGTGGTTGAAAGAAGGAAAAAGATCGTCCTGAACAAAAAGGCCCTTTTGCTTTTCGTTATCTTTCCTGCCCCAATGCTGAGTCCATTGCCAGATATGTCAAGGCTTCAAACGGAACACATGGAAGAGAAGGTTGAAAGCAAAAACTTTATTGTGCAGAAAAAGTAACCTAAGGAAATCTCTCCCCCTTTCTCTGTACCTCTCTGTCTATGAGAAAGGAAAGGGGAAGATGTGGAAAGGAAAAAGGCAACGGCTTCCGACTCCCTTTGGATCAGTAATAACATCAAAGCAAAACATTTTAGTTTTAGATACCATGTTTCCCCAAAAACAAGACACGGTCTTATATTATTTTCCGCTCCAAAATAAGCACCAGGATGTACCCACTTACCTAACGACTACTGCAGCCACGCCTCCCCCGCCCCAACACCTATCATGCTACTACTCGGCATCTTCTGCGTTGTACTGTGCCATTGCGCATTTGAGCGATGGCATCATTGCGATGAGCCTTAAGGCATTCGGCCACAAGCGGCGGCACCGGCACGACAAGCCTTGTGGCGTTCTGCTGTTAGTTGGCGGCACATGCACGACGAGCCATATGGTGTCTGGCCACGAGTGGCGACATCAGAGCGATGAGTTACATGGCATTCTGCTGTGAGCGGCGGCACCGGCACAACGAGCCATGTCGCTTCTGCTTGCAAGCTGCCACAACCGTCTGCAAAAGTCAGGCAGCAGTGCAACAGGTGTCAGGATATGGGAGGTCTGACTGTGGCTGCCCTTAGGTAAGTGGGGAAGGAGCAGGGATGGGATTCTACCGGTTCGGACCGGTTCTTCTGATTCTGCACAGTTTGGAGAACTGGGAAACCATGTCCCTGGCTGCCCACACCCCTCTCCACCCAGTCAGTCCTTATCGTGCATGTCTGACATAACTGACTGTGTTCTTCCCGCCCAGTCACTCCTTAAGGTATTTCTTTTTTCCCCCCTTCCTGATCAGCAGTGATCAGCTGTGCCAGGATCCCCCTTGGTGCTATCTCACTGCTTTGGCCTGGAGGCAAAAAGGGACGCGCTCCATTTTTTGCCTTCCTGGGCCCCATGGAAACCTTCTGGGAGCAAAAACGCCCCCACGGGAGGCTTTCCTGAGCCTCAGAAGGCAAAAAAATGGGTGGGTGGGGGGTGTTTGCTGAAAAAAGCCACACCCACCCAGGCACATGGCCATACCCACCTAGCCACGCCCACAAAAGCGATTGTTAAAAAATTTGAATCCCATCCCAGGTAAGGGGTGTGTGAGGCAGCTCCACCCCCTCCCTACCCTAGCTTGATTTTTGCACCTTATGTCATCTTTTCCTGCTGTGTGTCTTCTTATGGCGATTAAAGTTACTCCCGGTTGTGCATTTCTTTCCACACTCCACACACTGATACGGCTTCTCCCCTGTGTGGATTCTTCTATGCAGCCTAAGATTCCTGCTGTCTTTGAAACTCTTTCCATACTTGATGCATTTAAACGGTTTCTCTCCTGTGTGGATCCTATTGTGGGAGGTAAGCTGGCCACTCCCAGGAAAACAGTTTCCACACTCCAAGCATTTATAGGGTTTCTCCCCCTGAGTGAACTCTTCTATGGATCCTGAGTGAACGATTTCAACTAAAGCTTTTTCCGCACTCATGACATGTATACGGTTTCTCCCCAGCATGGATCCTCTTGTGGATCCTCAGTGCTCCAGAATCACTGAAACATTTTCCACACTCCTGGCCCTGATAGGGTTTCACCCCAGTGTGGATGCTGCTATGTACAACATAGCTATTTTTTGCACTGAAGCTGTTTCCACACATGCGGCATTCGTATGGTTTCTCCCCAGTGTGGAGCCTTATGTGAAAGTGAGGGCCCCCAAATTGTTGAAGCATTTGTCACATTAAGTGCACTTACAAGGCTTTTCACCTGTGTGGATCCTTTTATGGAGAGTAAGACTCCGTGGATTACTGAAGCTCTTTCCACTCTCAGTGCATTGATACAGTTTATCCCCAGTGTGGATTCTTTCGTGGGAAGTTAAGTGGCTGGATTTATGGCTGCAAAAGTTGGGCAGCAGTGCAACTGATGTCAGGGTATGGGAGGTCTGAGTGTGGCAGTCATCAGGTAAGTCGGTAAGGAGTGCGTGGGGCAGCTCTATCCATCCCCCACCTTAGACTGAATTTTAGGCCTAACATCATTTTTTCCTGCTGTGCATCTTCTTATGGCAATTAAAGTTACTCCTGGTTGTGAATTTCTTTCCACACTCCACACACTGATACGGCTTCTCCCCTGTGTGGATTCTTTGATGGAGCCTAAGATTCCTGCCGTCTTTGAAACTCTTTCCACACTCGATGCATTTAAACGGCTTCTCTCCTGTGTGGATCCTATTGTGGGAGGTAAGCTGGCCACTCACAGGAAAACATTTCCCACACTCCAGGCATTTGTAAGGTTTCTCCCCTGAGTGAAGCCTTCTATGACTCCTGAGTGAATTATTTTGACTAAAGCTTTTTCCGCATTCATGACATGTATACGGTTTCTCCCCAGTGTGGATCCTCTTGTGGATACCAAGGACACCACTTGTCCTGAAACTCATGCCACACTTGGTGCACCTATAGGGTTTCTCCCCAGTGTGGAGCCTTTTATGACGAGAGAGAGCCGCCAAATCAGTGAAGCGTTTGTCGCATTCAGGACACTTATAAGGCTTTTCACCTGTGTGGGTCCTTTTATGGATATTAAGGTGACTTGTTAGACTGAAGCTCTTTCCACACTCGGTGCATTGATACGGTTTCTCTCCACTGTGGATTCTTCTGTGGGAAGTTAGGTGGCTGGATTTACAGAAACTCTTTCCACACTCCAAGCATTTGTATGGTTTCTCCCCTGTGTGGGTCCCTTTGTGGGCACGAAGGCTACCAGAATTGGCAAAGCGCTTTCCACACTGCAGGCATTTAAAGGGCTTCTCCCCTGTGTGGATTCTTTCATGTGACTTAAGGTGAACTTTTTGACTGAAGCTTTTTCCACATTGCAGGCATTTATAAGGTTTCTCCCCTTTATGCATCCTATTATGTAAGGTTAGCGATGAGGTGTTGCTAAAGCTTTTTCCACACTCCAGGCATTCATAGGGTTTCTCCCCTGTGTGGATCCTCTTATGGGAAGTAAGGGCACCTGAGGCACTGAAGCATTTTCCACACTCTGTGCATTTATACGGCTTCTCTCCAGTGTGGATTCTCTTATGTAAATTGAAATTGCCCTTTTGTGCAAAGCTTTTTCCACACACCATGCAATGATACGGCTTTTCCCCTGTATGGGTCCTGCTATGGCGAGTGAGGCCACTTGCAGAGCCGAAGCTCTTCCCACACTCCAGGCATTTACATGATTTCTTCCCAGTGGGGCTTTTTTTCTGGGAATTTGGTTCCTTGCTCTGAGTAAACCTTGTTCTACCCTCCCTGCGTTGATGCAACTTCTCCTCTCTGTGGAGGTTTTGATGGGAAGTAAGGGAGGCGCTGCTTCCAAAGGTCTTTCCACAGGGAATGCATTCATGATGCTGCTTCTCTTTGTGGACCCTCTGATGTGAATTAAGATGGTTTTTCTGACTGAAGGTCCTTCCACAATCCAGACATTTGTGCGGATCCTCTGCTTTGTGAATCTTTTTATGCAATGCAAGGGAACAGCTTGTACTGAAACTTTCTGCACACTCCGTAGATTTTAACAATTTCCCTCCTTCTTTTATTCTTTCATGTAAAGGAGGAGGAAGGCTCCCTCTGAGGTTTTGCCTGCTTTCATCTTGTTTCTCACCAGCAGGGCTTTCGCCACAGTCACATAATCCTGATTCATCGCAGAGTCTTTTCCCACACCTTGAAAACATTTCTTTTTCATGGCTATCATCTGTGTCCAATAAGACATTGATAGCCAGACAAGGTAAACCAGAGCAATTCTCCAGCTCCCCCGTTAACTGGTTTTGCTCTGAACTTTGCTTTCCATATATCTTTTCTGCAACTTCGTTTTTGTCTTTTGGCAAAGGTGCTGCTGCCTCTTGGCCAGAATCCTCCATCTCCCATCTGTCACCTGGTTGCAACAATAAAAAAAGAAAAGTTAACACAAACTGTAGTGCGAAAGCGATTAAGCATCATTGCTCTATTTGAACAGTATCAAACTTCTTCCAAACTCTCATTTGTTCAAAACATTGTGCTGTATTGGTATTAATGTGGGAAACAGAGTTGTATTGTTTTTACAGAATTGTAAAAAGACATGTTGGCCTGTGAACAAAATACATTGTATATATTTCTAATTCTCATGAACTAGGCTGAAGCTTGAGAATTGTATGTAGGAGCTAGGATTAGAGGCCTCTGCTATGCTGGAATCCGACCATAACCAGATTTCATTGATATGATAGTTACTCTAGAGCAGGGGTGGGCAAACTTTTTGGCTCGGGGGCCGCATTGACTTTTAAAATTTGACAGACGGGCCGGGTCAGCACAAGATTTTTTGGGAATCGCCCCCCCACCCTTTCCCCCCCTTTTTCTCCTCCTTCCCCTCCCCTCCCCTGAGTCAGGAGTTGCTACCGCCGGCGCGGCTCTGCGCGGCTCCAGTCCCGCGTTGCCTCGGGAAGGGAAAGGCAAAAAGGAAGAGCTGCGGCGGTGCTTTGCAACGGCAGCAGCGGCACCGGAGGCTCAGGCTCAGCGGCTCCTGGTTTTGCCTTTTCTTTCCCAATGCAACGCAGGACTGGAGCCGCGCGGAGCTGCGCCGGCGGTAGCAACTCCTGACAGCCCCAGCCGGACACCTGAGCGGAGCCCGGGCGGAACTGCCTGTTGCTGCTGCCGGAGCACCACCGGGTCGCCTCCTCCAAGCAGCCTGCCCGCCCGCTGGGCTTCCCCTCCGCCGCGCGGCTTGGGGCCAGGCGCGAGCGCCCGTGAGTTAAAAGGAAGCCGAAAGTTGCTGGGAAGTTGCTCAGGTTTCCGGGGCTTCCAGGGCTTTGCAAAGGCAAAGTTTGCAGGCGGGAGCATCTTCCTGCCGAGGAGCGGGAAGGGTTCTGCCCGGCGGGCGGGGCGGGCTGCTTGGAGCGGGCTGCCGTGCGGCTCGGGGCGAGGCATGAGCGCCCGCGAGTTAAAAGTTGCTGGGAAGTTGCTCGGGTGCTAGGAGCAGGCTTTTAAAGTGCCGCCCGAGCAAAGTTTAAGCAGCCCGCCCGCCGGGCGGAACCCTTCCCGCTCCTCGGCGGGAAGACGCTCCAGCCTGCAAACTTTGCCTTTGCAAAGCCCTGGAAGCCCCGGAAACCTGAGCAACTTCCCAGCAACTTTCGGCTTCGTTTTAACTCGCGGGCACTCGCGCCTGGCGGAGGGGAAGCCCGGAGCCTCCTCCAAGCAGCCTGCCCACCCACCCGCCGGGCTTCCCTTCCACCGTGCGGCTCGGGGCCAGGCGCGAGCGCCCGCGAGTTAAAAGGAAGCCGAAAGTTGCTGGGAAGTTGCTCGGGTGCTGGGAGCAGGCTTTTAAAGTGCCGCCTGAGCAAAGTTTAAGCAGCCTGCCCGCCCACCGGGCGGAACCCTTCCCACTCCTCGGCGGGAAGATGCTCCAGCCTGCAAACTTTGCCTTTGCAAAGCCCTGGAAGCCCCGGAAAACCGAGCAACTTCCCAGCAACTTTCAGCTTCATTTTAACTCACGGGTGCTCTGCCTCGCCCCGAGCCGCATGGCGGAGGGGAAGCCCGGAGCACCGCCGGGTTGCCTCCTCCAGGCAGCCTGCCTGCCTGCCCACCCGCCGGGCTTCCCCTTCGCCACGTGGCTCGGGGCCAGGCGCGAGCGCCCGCGAGTTAAAATGAAGCAGAAAGTTGCTGGGAAGTTGCTCGGGTGCTGGGAGCAGGCTTTTAAAGTGCCGCCCGAGCAGGACCGCCGAGCCGGGAAACGGGGCACCAAGGCAGGGCAAGGCTCCACCAGTAGCGGCCTAGCTTTAGTTGGCTCCAAGCAGCCCGCCCTGCCCGCCGGGTGGAACCCTTCCTGCTCCTTGGCGGGAAGACGCTCCCGCCTGCAAGCTTTGCCTTTGCAAAGTTTAAGCCTGGAAGCCCCGGAAAAAAAAGGGGGATCGGCGGGGACTCACCTTCGGAGAGGTCGCACTCGAAGGTGATTTCGAACTCCCAGCTGAGGCCTTTGTAAATTTCTTTTCTTTCCTACCCCTAGATCGCTCCGCACTGTTTTGCAGCTTTGGGGGCCACGCGGCACAGAGCAATACGCCACGCCCAGCGATTTTTTTTCAGGGGCGGGCCGCATTGGATAGACCAACGGGCCGGATGTGGCCCGCGGGCCGTAGTTTGCCCACCCCTGCTCTAGAGACAACCCCTGGGAACTAGGACCATAAAAGGAAATTCGTAAATAAGGACAGGGGAAGATAGAATTAGAGTCGTGGGAGATGTATTCAAGGGCGGAGATAATGTATTCGCTTTAGACACTTTGGATAGGTTGTGACATCATTGTTACTAAGCCAATGAAGAAGAGGTGGGAGGTAAATTGGTAACAGTGCTAGAGAATATAAGGCAAAGTATCCAGTGTACCTGCGTGTCTGTGTGTGTTCCACCCACCTTGCACAGAGAATAAAATTACCATTGTTTTTACTTGGAAGTTTTGGCTGGTGATTGTTTATTTCCAAACTAGACAACAAATCCCACATTAAGTTGATATAAGATTTGACCTTTGGCTACCAAATGTCAGTATCTTAACAGTATCCCTCACCTAATGAGGCGATATTCCTCTTGTTTTCCAGCATGACCTCTTGGTACAGGGCTTTTTGCTCAGAGTCCAGCAGGGCCCACTCCTCCACGGAGAAAAACACAGCTACATCCTCAAACGATACCAAATCCTGACAAAGGGAAGGGAAAAAACACAATGTATTCCATGAATATTCCTAACAATGAACACTCCAATGGATTACATGTGACTCTTCTTAATGAGAAACCTCCACAGCTTCCAAGTACGGCAAAGAACATGTAGGATATTGAATTTGGTAGATGAAAGAGTAAAGTCTACAATAGGCCGGAACACAATTGTAACTGATTAGAGAGAGCTGACTCATGCAGGATGCAATCTATGCTATGATGATGTTTTAGATTTACCTCACAATGTTCCTGTGTTCCTGATTATCTTATGTTCTTCCTGTTCTGGATGATAACAAAGACTGCTGTAAATGTGTAGGTTAAATATATTTATATTTATATAAAGGACTACAAGTTCAGATTACGTGTCTCTGACTTCATCTTGACAGCTGCTGTAGAATTTCCTTGACAGACATCTCCTCTGGAGAACTTTTACAGAAACAAAGTGCCTCTGGCTAGAGATACATCTAGTTAATGTTTTATTGGTTTGGCTGATTCCACAGGAGCAGCAACCCCAAATTACTTTGCTTTCCACTGATGAGCTAGACTTGGGGTAAGTTGGCCAAACCCAACACCAATTTTACCCACTGTGGTGACCCGATGAATCATGCCGAATCAAGGAAAGAGCGGTTCAACACTTAATTTCTGTACAAATGTAAAGCTTGGACTTTTCTTTCCACTTTGGGCTTGGTAGTAGTGTTGCTTTATAAAACCTTAGTAAGGCCACACCTGGAATACTGCATTCAGATTTGGTCACCACATTACAAAAAAGATGTTCAGATTTTGGAAGAAGTGCACAGAAGAGCAACTAAGATAATTAAAGGCCTGTAGACAAAATATATGAAGAACGGTTGCAGGAAATGGATATGGCTAGTCTAGAGAAAAGAAGGACCAGGGGAGACACAATAGCAGTGTTCCAATATTTCTGGGGCTGCCCCAAACAAGAGGGGGCTCAACTTATTTTCCAAAGCACCAGAAGGCAGGAGAAGAAACAGTGGATGGAATCTAATCGTGGAGAAAGGCAACCTGGAATTAAGGAGAAATTTCATGACAGTGAGAACAATTAAAACTAATGGAACAGTTTGCCTTCAGAAATTGTGGGCTGGAGGTTTTAAAGGAGAGACTGGACAGCCACTTGTCTGAAAGGCTATAGGGTCTCCTGCTTGAAACAGGGGGATGGACTAGAAGATCTCCAAGATCCCTTCCAATTGTGTTATTCTGTTATTGGGAGATTGGCACACCTGGCGAGAGGACTGGAGAATCCTCCTACCTGCATTGGAAGCTCAGCCACTGTTGATCCACCACTACAAAGAACTGAGGTTCCAGGAGATGAAGCCATGGCCATGAGAGGGTCTAGGAGTGGAAACAAAGCAGCGAAGAAATAATTTGCTATTATGTTCTTGAACATCCAGTGCAGAAGGCTGATTTTAGCCTATTTCTAGGCTAACTAGAGAACCTCTTTCCTAACAGACAGGAAGCAGCAGGTGAAGCTAGGCAGAATCACATCCGATACCTGTACAATCAGCACAGGCCCCCCCCCAAGGCTGGGTGCTTTCTCCACTTCTCCCTATATACCTATGACTGCATCTCAAACGATCCATCTTTTAAAATACTGAAGTTTGCAGATGACACAACAGTGATTGGTCTCATTCGAGACAACAATGAATCCGCATACAGACAGGAGGTTGTACAACTTGCCTCATGATGTAACTGGAATAATCTGGAACTGAACACACTCAAAACTTTAGAAATGCTGGTAGACTTTAGAAGCAACCCTCCCATACTACCACCTCTTACAATACTAGACAACACAGTATCAACAGTAGAGACCTTCAAATTTCTAGCTTCTATATCACATGACTTAAAATGGACACCTAACATCAAAAACGTCATCAAAAAAGCACAACAAAGAATGCTCTTTCTGCACCAACTCAGAAAGCTCAAACTGCCCAAGGAGCTGCTATTCCAGTTCTACAGAGGAATGATTGAGTCTGTCATCTGCACCTCTATAACTGTCTGGTTTGGTTCTGCAACCCAACAGGACAGACACAGACCTCAGAGAGTAATTAGGACTGCAGAAAAAACAATTACTATCAACCTGCCTTCAATCAAGGACCTGTATCCTGCACGAGTCAAAAAGAGGGCTGTGAAAATATTTACAGACCCCTCACATCCTGGACATAAACTGTTTCAACTCCTTCCCTCAAAACGACGCTATAGAGCATTGCACACCAGAACAACTAGACACAAGAACAGTTTTTTCCCGAAAGCCATCACTCTGCTAAACAAATAATTCCCTCAACACTGTTCAACTATTCACAAAGTGTACACTATTATTACTGTTACATCTTGTCACCTACTCCTTATCACCCGTCCCCTCCCACTTGTGACTGTATGACTGTAACTTTGTCGCTTGTATACTTATGATTTATATTGACTGTTTCCTAGTATGATTGATTGCTTATTGTACCCTATGACTATTATTAAGTGTTGTACCTTATGATTCTCGACTCCTGATGAATGTATCTTTTCTTTTATGTATACTGAGAGTATTTACACCAAGACAAATTCCTTGTGTGTCTAATCACACTTGGCCAATAAAGAATTCTATTCTATTCTATTCTATTCTATTCTATTCTATTCTATTCTATTCTATTCTATTCTATTCTCGTTAGGTGAGTCCTTTGTAGCCACAGCAACAACACACAGAAGCTCATCCTGGGTGAAAGGAAAACTGAAAGGTGTGGAAGGACCAGGGATTGGATTCAGAGGCAGATTATCTCAGCCATGAATGTGTGCATTAAAGCAGTGGTCCCCAACCTTTTTTGTACCACAGACCAGTTTCACGCAGAAACACTTTTTCAAGGACCGGGGGGGGGGGGGGGGGG